TGGAGCGACCATTGACATTAATGCAACATTTTTTGATTAGATAGAAATTCTCACTAAACATCGACATCTCTTATTAGTGTACTAAAATTATGTTGAGAGAATCCACGACATGTCATTTCTACACCGGCAGAGGTTCAAGAAAATGAGAGAGCAATAAGACTTGCATCTGCAGGACAACCACATTTTAGTGAATGCAACGGCTCAAACTCAACTATTAACATTGCTCACAACATGCAAAAATCAAAGCTGATATTCTCATACACAATAAACGCTTGTGACGCAAAAGTATTTAGTGAAATGTAGTACTCTACAAATGTTGTAGTTTGATACACTGTAGAGAATTAGTGAAGGTAGCCTTTCTTTAATAGTAAAACACTTGATTTGCATTGTTGAGCCATGCAGGGGAGAGACAGGGAGAAGAGACGGCTCCATAACCTGGCAGCCACCCATGCCATGTGGTGATCGTCACTTTGCTCTGGCACGCTAGACCACCTGTCGCTGACTTGACTTTTGTTTCTCTAATGAGCCTGTTTACACCTGAGCTGTTGAGGTGAGCTTGGGACAAACTCCAGAGATTAAATTATGTGGAAAAGCAGATTAGATGGTGGTTATTCAATCTACAGCCAGATAAGGACGCTCACAAGCAAATATACATACATGTTCACAACTACATGAACATGTACACTCACAGAGAAGCAAATGACATCTACACTGTAGGATATTATTTTGTATGCATTCATATATTTTGTATGACTTTGAAGTTACTTTTCAACATTAAATATTTCCGTATGGGCCATTTTGTTGAAAAGCTATCACAGTATAAAAATATGCTGTTTTGTGGAGGAAAATACCCTTTCCCCCCCACTTTCTAGGAATAACTCTCATGTCTTTAACACATTAACATAATGCAGAGCACATATGATTAAAAATGGACCACCACTATGTCAAAATAAAAGCTTCCATCCATTCTCCTGGGAATCACAGAATTAATTCTACTTAACAGAGGGATTGAGAGAGTGAGCTAAATGTGGTTGTTTTGGGAAGCCTGCCTGCCATCAAGTCATGTCTTTCTGATAGACATGTAAGTTTGGAAAGCCGCCTACACATCCCTGAGCCTCTCTCAGTTTTTACAACCAAGGGAGATACATAAGAGAGAGAAAAAAAGGAAATGAAATGAGAGACAGAGAGAGAGAGGGGTAGGGAAAGACGGACACAGGACAGAGAGAGAGAGAGAGAGAGAGAGAGAGAGAGAAGATGGAATGTGTGCTGTCTGATGCAGAGTGGAGCTTTCCTGCACTGGCGCTCAGCGCTGAGTGTGTGTCCACATCTCTTTGAGGAAGGGCTGGAATTAACCCACACACTTTCAGTCACTGGCATCAATGGAGCTTTCCATGGGTTGTGACTCAAGCTACACACCCAAAAGCATCTGTGGCCTATGCATTGAGCACTACTGTGCAATAATGCTGTATGGTCCTGCACATGCTTGCTGTGTATAGATTGAAAGCCACTGAATGTGGTGTTCGCTGTCTCTCTTTTTTTAGTCAGCCTCTCTCTCCAGTTCTCTCTTTCAGTTTGTGTTCATGTAAGGTATGAATATAGTAGCTATATTTGGGGCTGGGGGGATTTGCTAAGCTGTGTTTTACAGTTAGAGCTCCGTTTTAGCAAGCAAAGACAAAAAAAGAGTCACATGCATATGCACGTACTGCACATGCAAAGGGTGCACACAAGTTTTACACATAAAGATCATGCATGGGCACAAAAGTGTTTATTTGAAGTGCTTCCAACATATATAGGCCAGTGTGGTCCTCTTGTAGGTAGAGGGTTTTATAGAAAAATACTGTTGACAAAGTCCAAGTGTTCATATGTAAAACACTCTATACACTTTTTCAAGGCAATATGTCATAGTAAGGCATACCACTAAACTAGGATCTCTACAAGAAAGTAAGTCAAATATAATACGACTTTTACGTGTTTGTTTGGTCCTTTGTATGGCCCGTGACAAACATGAGGCCACAATTCACCCATTCATTTACATCTGTATTGCTGCATAAACACTCAAATACACATGCAGCCAATAAAGGCATATTTACACAAAGTGAGTAAGCGTGTATCTGAGTGCTCACACCCTGAGGCAGGCCCAGGGAGAGAGGCATAGGACAATTAAAACTCATGCTAAACTGAAAGAAAGCTAGAAAATTGACAGTGAGAAAGTGGCCACTGAGCACTCATGCATAAAAAAAAAACACAATAAAAAAAAATTACACACAAGCACTTACACTTACACACAAGTAGACAGAAAACAACAAAAAATATAAACACACATCATAATGGGTTGAGCACAGCATGGGAAGCTTTCATCCACTCTCTAACAAAGCTTACATTTTCAGTGTGAAGTCTTTGACAAGTGACAGCATGTTCAACCCAATTATCCTGTTTCACGTTTCTTACCTTCCACTCATCACAAATATAGCCCACCTCTTCTTTAAACATTTCACACAATAAATACATATGACAGACAAACACATAAATACACACACACACACACACACACACACACACACTTGGACACATCAGCCTCAGCTCCCCTGCACTGTGTCCAGGGTCTAAACAGAGATGTCCCCTGAGCTTTGTCACCTGTCTACAGGGATGTAGGGCTAAGTGATGGAGAAGGGTGAGCCAAGGTCTCATCTGCTCCCTGATGACTGAATGGAGGAGCTGGTGACTAACCTTTGACCCTGGCAGGAAGGCAGATTGAGCATTTGTCCAGACTCTATTAGCATTCTGCTTACACAGACCCCATACCTCAGCAGTATAATTGTATGAACACTGTGGATATATTAGGGTGAGGTGTGGCAACAAGGTTCTGAATTGTAAGAGAGACTCAGTCAGCCTGAATATTTTGAGCTTTGCCTCGTCTTGGCAGCACAGCAGGGGAGTTTTTGCAGTCAAAATACATCAACTCACAAAAATTCTTTCCAATGAGGAAATCACACAACAGTCTTTGTAACCATGAGTAATCCTGCCATGATTAAATTCCTACAAGGCGAGGGGTCAGGTAAAACATGGAAACCTAATGCCACTGTGCACCATTTTCTCTCTGCCTTTTCCTCACTCCTTTGATGCTTTGTTTCCCTGACAGTGCAAGCCCTCCTACTCCACACACACACATAAATACATCAAAAAGACAAATAAGCCTGTCGGTTCTGTCTCTGCATGTCTCAACATCGTCATATGCATGCCGCAGTTGTCAACACTGCACAGCCAGATCAAACTGGCAATCTGTCATTATGCTGGGAATACAGTTGCGGATTCAAGTGACTGATGACACATAGAGAAATTTGTGTGACCATTAATGTAGCGTTAAAAAAAGGGATGTGTGTACTCTGACCTCCAGGTGGTGATGAACATAAGGCAACCACAACCACCAACATAAACAGAAACCAGCAGAAAAGCTTGTTTATTTCCTCTTTAAACTCATAATCCTCATCAGCTGGTGACTATTTTCTTTCCTATTAAACCAAATTCCTTGTAACACAGCTATGGCAGCCAACATAAGCATGTCGACTTGGGGAAAAAAAGGCACTTCAGATGGGTTTATCCTCCTCTACATCCCCGGGTGTATCTGTCTCATGCAGTATTTACCGTGGTGGGGTCAGTACCGCACTGATTTGTGAGTGACGCTGGATTTCAGCACCGCGGACAGCGCTCTCTCTCTCCGGCTCCAGGAGAGGAGGAGGGAGGGAGGCAGCAGGAGACGAGCGGGCTGTGCTGTTGGTGCTGTTGGTGCTGTTGGTGGTGGGGGTTTCCCTGGAAGATTTCAGCAGAAGGCCGACACAGTCATTCCTCCATCGCTTACACACCGCCTACCACCTCATCCGTACCGGATTTCCATACAGAGGAATACCGTATGGGTGTGAGATCACGGCTTTCATGAAATATTGATCGACCCAGCCTCACACAGGATGGACAGAGAGAGGAATAGAGAAAGAGAGGGTGCGGGTGGGGGTGAGGAGAGG